CTGTTGCCGTCGAGTCGATTCTGACTCATAGTGACCCTATAGGACAGAGTAGAACTGCCCCAAAGGGTTTCAAAGGATGGCTGGTGGATTTGAACTGCTGACCTTTTGGTTAGCAGCCTAGCTCTTAACCACTGCACCACCAGGGCTCCATTAGTATAGAGCATGTCTTGTCTTAAATCATTCTCTTTAGAGATGTAAAAGAGCAAATGAAGCAAGCAAGCAAGGAAGCACAAACTGAGGGGTGGGGGGAGATGTACCACATGATCACCAAGGAGCCCAGGAACAGAAGCTGAAAAGAGACAAGGACCTTCTCCCAGAGCTTACACAGAGAGAGCCTTTCCCTAGAGCCAGCACCCTCAGTGTGGACTTGTAGCCTCCTAAACTATGAGAAAATAAATTTCTGTTTCTTAAAGACACCCATTTGTGGTATTTCTGTTACAGCAGCACTGGATAACCAAGACCCTCTGCTGCGCACTCCCCCTCTCCCTTCTGCGATCAGCCTGTTTACTTGTTTGTTCATGGAGCGAAAATCCGACTCCCACATCTCCGGAGTTACATGCTTCCTATCCGGACAATTCAGATTCCTGGCTCAGCCGCTTACCACTTCATCACCTGGGCAGGTTACTGCCATCTTGATCCTCGTTCCTCATCCATAGAAGGGGGAGTGCCTCCTGCCTCCCTGGTCTGAGGGTGCACAGGTGAGATCCTACACGAGTCCTAGCACAGCTCCCGATCCTTAGCAGTTCAGTAGGTGACGATTAGAGTCAGCCAGGTGTCTTAGTATCTAGTGCTACTGTAACAGAAATACAACTGGGTGGCTTTAGGAAAGAAATTTATTTTCTCACAGTTTAGGAGGATAGAAGTCCAAATTCAGGGCAAGGGCTCTAGGGGAAGGCTTTCTGTATCCACTCAGGGGGGAAATCCTTGTCTCAGCTTCTCTAGCATTCTTCTTGGTGTTCCTTGGAGATCTCCAGGTAGCATCTATCTTTACCCAATTTATGCTTGCTTCTCTGTGCCTCATTTGTACTCTTTATGTATTGAAAATGAGTAGGTTTAAGACAGCTCACACTGATGTGGTCCAATTATAACACAACAAAGAAAACCCTATTCCCAACTGGGATTACATTCCTGGGTATAGAGGTTAGGATTCCGACATATGTTTTAGGGGACACGGTTCAATCCATATCACCAGGTATGTTGTGTGAAAATGAATTACTTTTTTAACAATCACTCTCTCTTTTTTCTTTCTAATCCTTTTGTTTTCCTGGGATGCTCTGTGATTTGCACCCAGAGCCAGCCTTTGAACATTCATCTCCCAGCCCTTTGAGGTCATGCTGACCTGGAGTAAGTACTAGGCATTGCCGTCATCTCTCCCTGTAATTCTCAAGAGTCTCTTGATGGGAAACAATCCCGTCGTCACAATGCATTGCTCTTTTCTGATTAGTCACAAAGCTGCGTTCCATTATTCTGATTAGGCAGTAGAAGATCATGTCAGGTGCTCTCTCAGGCCTGTGTGATGGGTGCTGTAGTGGCTGGTGCAAACATTTGTAATATTTATCACCAGGACTCTGATGCCTGAGGAAGGGGTGGCTTTTAGTTGCTGCCAGCATTCCCTGGCTCCTGCCGAGCCTCAGGAGTGTATCTGTAAAAGGCTGACTCTTGACCTCAAATGAGGCAATTCCATTTATTCATTTCAAGGCCCCTTTTGAGCACTTAATGTTTTACTTTTTGATTCAAGTGGCTTGATACTGAGTGACAAAATATTTATCAACTCAGAAAATGGTTGTCGGCCTTCCTTCCCGTCTCTGGAGGTGGAGAACCCAAACTCCCTGTAGGCAGGCTGCCCAGCCCGATGATGATCATTGATGTGATCCATAGGTCAGTGGAGATGGGTGTGTGCAGTGTGTGGCCTTCTGTTTGAAAGAGAACACACCGCTCTTACGAAGAGTGGCATTAATGTAAGATGGACCAAACTTCCTGTTTGTTTCTTGGTCAGTTCAGTTTAATAAAATGATCCGTATGTGCAAAGTACTCAGGCTGTGGGAGTACCAAGATGGGTAAGACACAGTCCCTGGCCATGGGCAGTGGGTGGCAACCCAGACTTGTGAACAGGTAGTTACAATGCTGTAGAGTCAAGGCTCCGACAGAAGTATGTGGCCAGTGTGGAGTGGGATATTGAGGAGGGGGTGGCTCTTAGCGTGGTTCCTGGCAGGGCTCCAAACCAGTTCATTCTGGTTTGACCCTCCTGCTGAGAATTTGCATTTCCTACCCCAGATATACTGAATCAGAATCTACATTTTAACAAGATCCCCAGGGGATTCTCATGTATACATAAGAGTTTTAACAAGATCCTCAGGTGATTCTTGTGTGTATATGTAAGAGTCATCTGGGCGTTTTGTTAAAATGTAGATTCTAATTCAGTATATTTGGGGTAGAAATGCAAATTCTTAGCAGGAGGTCGAACTGGAATGAACCAGTTCGAAGCCCTGGTTCCTGGTAAAGAAGCTAAAATTGAGTTTTGAGTTAAGTGAAGAATGGCAGTGCATCCCAGCCATGGAAAAGTTTAGCAAAGGCCCCGAGGGTCTGAGACTGCAAAGGCATGGTGCAATGTTTGCAGAACTCAAGGAGTTCTGTGTTATAGAATCTAGTATACAGAGGAGACAGGCAAAAAGGAAGTCAGAAAGACAGAGATTGATTGGTTGATTGATTGATTGATTGATTCTGATCTTGGAGGGCCTCTGTGCCTTGCTCTGTAACTTGGACTTTATTTCACAGTTGAAGTCACTGGTGGGTTTTATGCAGGAGGGCTATGAGAGGGCTTCTGCTTTAGATCATCTAGATGGACAATGGGTTATCAGGATGGGTGGATGATGAATGGATGATGGATGGATGGGAGGTTTGCATGAAGAGTTCAGAAGTTTTTGCAATTGTCCAGGAAAAATAATGGGGAAGGTCTAAATCAGTGTTGCAGTATTAGAAATAAGGAGGAATACACAGCCATGATAAATATTTAGGAGATGAAATCAGGTGTTACAAAAATGAGGTGAGTGCAAGTGAGGGCAGGGAGATGTTGAGGGTGGCTACCAGGTCCCTGACTTGAGTCATCTGGTGGGTGATAAGCAGAGAAGGCTGGAGGTGTAAAGTGTTCGGTGAGGCAGATAATGAGTCCAGCTTAGGACATTCGGGGAAGCTAAGTGGCCAGTCCATCAGATAGTGGGGTAATGAGATTTCAGGGTTAGAGAAGGGGTCGGACTAGAAGATGCAGATCTTGACATTAGCAGTTTATAAAAGCCCATAGCAAGCAATTAGGTACAAGGATGCTTGCAGAAGGAGAGGAACAGGTGTGTGGGCTGGGCCATTGTGGAACATGAGTGTGCAGAAGGTGGTAGGTGGGAGGCAATGTCTCCAGGATACTGAGAATGGATAGTCAGAGAGGCTTGGGGAGGCAGGGGTGTTGAGGTTGCAAGGAGCAGAGAATCTCTGAAACATGGAATATCAGCAGAGTCACGTGCAGTAGAGTGTCCAGCACCATAAGGACTGAAACCCACCCATTGGTTTGGCATCATGGAGTTAATAGGTTACCTTGGTGAGGACAGATATTGGGTGAGCTGGTGCCAACAGCCAGTTTCCGTTGGGTTGAAGGGTGCATAGGAAGGAAGAATGGAGGCTGCCACTTAGGCAACCCTTCCATCGGCTTGTATGAGAAGGAAAGGTGTGAGGCCTGATGGGAAGGAGCCAGCACTGGCTGTGGTTGCAGCAAAGACTACTTTTTGAACCGCTGTTCTTACCCTGACAATTGACTGCTACCTAAATCAGGATTGAGAAGCAGGTCATATTTATATGTGGTTGCACATGTTTGCATTATTGCAAATTAAGGTTTTACTTAAACTAATCAGGAGCAAAAAAGGTAATACACCCCATATATCTATGAATTTATTTTTAACGTGTGCCTATTCACCCCATTTTTAAATATTTACATAATGCTAAAGCAGTAACCCTCTTAATACAGCAATGTTTGAGGGTCTTCTTTACACCTAGTCCTCACTTTATCAACCATCTCATTATCTGACATTTCACATGTACGACAATTGTAAAAAATCTACTATCCGGCCATTTTGTGCATTAACGATGTATGTCTGGCAGTAACAAATGCCGAGGTGCGAGGTGAGAGTGATGGTGGCTGTGATAGGTAAGGTTATGTGTCCGCTTGGCCAGTTGTGTAATGTTATCATTTGGCACTTATGTAATGATGTAGTTATCCTGCATTTTGTGATCTGATGTGGTCAGCCTCCATTTTTGCGTAACTCCAACTTTGGTATAACTACCTGGTCTTTGAAACATAACCACATGGATAAGTGAGGAGTGGGTGTAATTTTCCTTCCGTCATTGTCTCAGATCCACCCTTGACACCCCTCCCAGAGGTAAGAGTTCTAAAACACAGACTTTTGTTTCCTTGCTGAGTGTCTTTATGCAGATTCTCTGGCTTCCAGAATATTGTCTTCTCTCCTCAGTGAGATGCTCTTGGCCCTGATGTTCTGCTCCAGAATCTCTGCAGGGTTAGCCCTTGGCTGTCTCCGGCCCTCACTCTTCAGGCTCTGGAGGAAGTTCCAGCTGCTTCACTGTCCTGATCACCTGGGGTCCACACCTCTGTGCCCTCACCCGTACATGACGCTCTCCCTCGGTGCCCTTTCCTCTCATCAGCTGGGCACACCTGTGCTCACTCTGTAGGCCCCCACCCAAGTGCATTGCTCTTGGAACCTCCCCAGGTGGAGCTGGCTGGCCTCTCCATGGTTGAGCTCCTCTCCGTTCCCAAGTCTTTGGGGTCTGCTGTCGACTGGACAGGCTGTGTATGTTTGTGCACGCTTTTGCTAGTTCCTCCTAGATTCTGGACTCCCAGATGGGAGGGCTGTCTGTGTGTGCCCAGCTCTGTGCCTTGCTCTGAGTTCACACGCAGGGACTGTCAGCTGGCTGTGCTCACCTGGTGCCCCCCTTCTTTGCAGGGAAGCAGTTCAAGTGCACGGTGTGTGACTACACGGCGGCCCAGAAGCCACAGCTGCTGCGGCACATGGAACAGCATGCCTCCTTCAAGGTATGGGGTCCAGCAGGCAGATGGGTGCTTGGGCAGAGGGCATCGCTCTCCACCACGAAGGTTGGGGAGTATCTTTTTATTACCTTGGGCATTATTTTCATGTTCTGGCCCCCTTGGCTGGTACACCTGGAATTTGAGGCATAGCTCAGTTTACTTTATGCTCTCTTCCTTCACAAACATAGCGTGTACTCTGTACTTTGGAAACCAAGGCAGGAAACAGTGTGTATGAGGATGTAGGCATGAAAAAAGGCAGACTCTTTCCATAAAAACCAGAGTGATGTAGAGGGAAGAGTCCAGGCTCTAGGGATACACATGTGCGATTTCAGGTCATGGATTGTCTCAGGGAAATCACCTGATGTGACAGGTATGAAGATGCCCACCTGGCAGACTGTTGTAAGAGCCAGAGATAGTGTTCTTGGGTGCCCAGCTTGGCGCCCCTCACGTAGCAGGAGCTCAGGAGATGGTGACTTGTGGTGTTCCTTAAATACCTCCCATTGATGTTTATTCAGTGCAGGTGGTAAGGTCCGCTTTGCCACTGCTTATGGTGCAGTTATTGACAACAAGAACGGTGTCCAGTGAATTTGTTTAATAGTAAAATATTTTGCTCAGTACTTGTGCAAGCTTGACCCTTAAAATGGATGCTGATGCTGGCATATACACACGAGAAATGGAATCATCAAGATTTGCAAACATTACACTCAAACATGTTTGTTGAAATTGTGTCTGGCTCTAAATCCCTGATTGTAGAATGTGGAAAGAACCCACGTTCCTCAGCTGGTGGCCCTTCTCCTCCATCTTCAAAGCCAGCAGCACAGCATGTCTTGTCATGTCTTTCTCTGACTCTACTCTTCAGGCCTCCCTCTTCCACTTTTAAGGACCCAAACGGTTAAGGGCTGGACTACTAGCCAGAAAGTTGGTGGTTAAAACCCACCCAGAGGCACCTCAGAAGAAAGGCCTGGCAGTCCGCTTCTGAAAGGTCACTGCCCTGAAAACCCTATGGAGCACAGTTGTATTCTGCACATGAGGTCGCCATGAGTAGGAACTGGGATTTGGACATATTTGGGGGACTGTTATTCTGCCTTCCACATTCCCCTCCCTTTTTTTTTTCTTCCCTTCACATCTACTCTGCACCAGAAGCTTTTCATCAAGGTCAGAAAATACGTAGTATGCACTTCCCCTTCCATACCAATGGCAAACATTATTAAGAAATCAAGGCTCCTGCTTTTACTAAGCCTAGCAAGGCCTCAAAATCCTCAAGCAGATACTACTAATCTCTTGCAGTTGGTTTGCAAGATGAAACAAATGTGCTGTTCCAGATCTCTCTCTCTCTCTAAATAGCCCACTGCTGTCGGTTCCAACTCATAGCGACCCCTTAGGGCTTCCAAGGCTGTAAATCTCTACAGAAACAAACTGCCACATCTTTCTCCCGAGGAGCCGCTCATTGGTTTCAAACTGCGGATTTTTTGGTTAGCAGTTGATTGCTTTAC